ATTTCAGAGATGAAGAACTGCAGGCGCGAGAGACAAGAGAGTGGGACTGTCAGCGAGGCCTGATAGATGTTTTATCAAGCTGGAATTGGACTTTAGAGCATAAACAGTTTGTTGAGGACATATTTTAGTGAGCGTGTACACTAACTTCTCCGGTTTAAAGGGATCATATCACACTGTTTCTGATCTATGCCATAATGTTGTTTCCATGTCTAAAACAAACCCCGAGCTGTGTTTTGTTTGATTCACATATTTAACACACAAACTCTGCATGTTTAGGCCGAGTTCTTCTTTCAAACTGAAAACACTCTGTTCCACTTTGAGATGTCATGTGATATTACAGGAAGTGCTCCACGGTATTTTTAGACTACAAACACCTTCCCTGTGATAATTTGGATGATTTCAGACCTGGAATTACCAAGCTCTAAGGTGTCTTTTAAATTGAAATGTACTGCTTCCTGATATCACAAGGTGGATCAGAGAATTTTGAGCTTTGGAAATATAGACCTTTGTTTCCCAAAGACTGGGTCGCAACCCTCAGGTGGGTCACAAGAGATTTTTGGAGGGTCGCCTTGTCATGATCTGCAATATACAGTTCTGCCACATGTTGAAATGTTAAGACATGTTTTGTATATTTTTTTTTATCTTTTTGTAATTATTTTATTGACTATTTTGTTCCAATATTTCTGGTTCAATTGAATGTTGAAAAGAAAAAGAAACGGGCTACATTTAATGTCCAAATAGACGACTTATGGATCCTTTTATTTCTGGTTCAATTACTGTTTTTCACTGTTTAAAACTTGAGTAATACTAATTGTTCAGAGAGACACGATCACTCAGTCAACAATAAAATATCCTCATTAATGTTCAATAATGGTCAAATCCACCTTTATTTTGAGATTTACAAATAACGTCTATTGACTTGGGTTGCGGAGGTTTGTGACTTAATATAGACACACTAACAATAAAGAATAACTCAAACATGAAGGACACAAAACAACTCCAGCTATGTTTTCTGATGAGGTAACAACATTATAACCTGACTTAAAGCTCACAAGAGTCAATTTTGCATTAGTAGCTTTAATGCTACAAAGACTATCAAGATTTTTTTTTTTTATCTTTTAACTTTTTTGCCCTTTATGCTTGTTTGTATGGGTTCAAGAGGTTTACTAAATTTTCATTCTTTTCATTCCTGTTTTCATTCCTTATGCATAACTTCTATTGGTATTAACCTTCATAAACTCCACCAGAATTCTACCTGTGACGTAACACTCTAGGGAAAATGTTTTGTGAGACTCTGAGCGAGATGACCTTGTAAACAGCATTAATGAATCATGTGAATGAAGCAAAATACAACTACAGGTACATTTTTGAAGAGGGTACAACATTTTAAGATGGTTAAAAGTTTGAAAAAGTACATTCTGAATAATATGTGTCCTTTAAGATTCTGTCCTGGTTTTACTTAAAACAAATTTTAACATTAGAAAATGTACTACCAAGTATCTGTGGATGACTATTGCAATGTAATGTGGAATATTTATTTATCCAATTGCTTATATGGCTTCTGCATGTGTGTGTTGCGTAGGATTTCCATTATAATTTGGATTACAGCGCCTTGGTGACAGCACACAGTGAAGTGAATGCTCAGAATTTCACCTGCTGCTCTTTTACAGGTGATGTTTTTACAACTTCTCAGGAACACCACCGTGGGGCGTACCTAACAGGCATTCAGGAGCATGTGGTAAAATATGCCATTTGCAGTAAAAGTATGAGCAACAATAATACAGGTTCACAGATACATCCAGAAATAACCAGATCATCTGCTGTCGGGCTTGTTGTACCAAGGCTTTAAACTGTATACAGGCTTCAGGACGCGGGGGACAACACTGCATATTTTGATGAGTGAACAGTGTTTAAATGAACCATCTGGGTAAATGAAAAAGCTGCTCAATTTACACTGAAAATTCACTAGCTGGGTTTTATTACCTTCGCCAAGGAGGTTATGTTTTTGCCGGCGTTTGTCTGTTTGTTTGTTTGTTTGTCTGTTTGTTTGTTTGTTTGTTTTGTCTGTTAGCAACATAACTCAAAAAGTTATGGACCGATTTTGATGAAATTTTCAGGATTTGTTGGAAATGTGAAAAGGAAGAACTGAATTCATTTTGGGGGTGATCCGGAAGAAATCCTGGATTCTGGATCACTTTGAAATTTTAGTTAACATTGTGGTAAATGGGGCCAAAATTTTTGTTTCTCAATATCTCGGTTAATTATTGACCAAACCCCATGAAATTTGACTCAGGGATGGACAATGGGATCCTCTTTCATATTCCAAAGGCTGATCCGGATCTGATCCAGAAGACTGATTTTATCGCAATTTATATAAAAAATGGGGGTAGTCCTTGGCGGAGGTCTGCGCTCTCTGAGTGCTTTTCTAGTATTATTATTATGATTGCAAGTTTTTCGTAATATTTGTTTTCAGCAATTTTAACACAGCGATATTAGCTCCTAGTCAAACTTGAAACTGTGAAAGTAAATTTTTCATTAATTTTTCCCATAGACTAGTAAGAGTTCAAATGCAAGATTTGGTGAACTGTTGTGGTTTATTAAGTTTTAGAAAAATACTTTACACAAAATTATGGGTCTCTTCATTAGTTTTGAGTGAGCTTTCAGATTTTTAATATATAAAATCTATGATGAAATGAATGTGAAATTTACTTTTGGAGCCAGGGGGTGTGTGGTCACTGTTGAGCTTCATAGCACATACTTTTAAAGAGGTTAAACTGATGATTCTTTAGGTCAAAATACAGAAATACATTCTGTGCCACTGTCATCTTGGCTCATATTGGTCTTGGGACAACTTAAATAGTTTTCATTTTTAGTCATTTGGTGAAACAGGCCAACTATATTATGTAAATCTTGGCATGTTTTGAGCGCATTGGATTTGTAAAGTTTCTAAACATTGATTTTAGCTATAATTATCTCGCTTTTCCTGCAATATCTGCATTTAAAGGTACTATATTACGCAAAACTGACTTTTGTGAGTTTTAAGCTGTGTTACAAAGCTGTTCAGTTTCATTCACATGTTTGAGAAATCCTTTATTATTAACCTGCATCTCCAAAGCTCAAAATGCTCCACCTTGTGATGTCATGTAGTCGTAGTTTTCAAGTTAACAGCTACCTTTTACCTTTTGTTCAGTAGAGATTGGCAATTCCAGGGCTGAAGTTATCTGAATGATTTTTGATCTTAAAAATACAGTGGAGTGTTTTTCCGTTTAAGAGAATAACCTAAATGGAGGGTGTGTGTTAAACATGTGAATAAAACAAAACACAACTCCAGGTATGTTTTGATGAGGAAACAACATTATAACATAAACCAGAAAACAGAATAATATAAATCCTTTAAAACTCATAATCTTGAGCATACCCAGACTGGCCGATATTACACCAACCTTATTTCCTGTCTAAAATAGGAAGCTTTCTCCAAACTTTCGTCCAGGTGGCACGAGTTTGATTTGAACAAACAATGAAAAATTGGTGACATTTAAAAGTAGAAAAACATCACAGCGAGGCTTTGTGCTATAGCCAGGGGAAATCCAAATATATAAAAGCGTCACAAACACAAAACAAACCAGGCTGCGGTCGGAGTAAGCGGGTCCGGTCCTGTGGAAATGTTGGACTTGGATGACATTGTGGTACATTGTGGTGTGGGGGGCTGGCATGGGGAGAGGGCTTTTCAAACAGACCACGGCCAGCAGGGCACCGCTCAATATTGGCTCAGCTGTTGTGTTGGAGGCTGGTTACAGAGTACAGAGCTGCATGTATCCAGACACGCCATTGAGCTAACACTGTCTAAGTCCTATAGGGCGCCAGCTCATAATATGTTCTTAATATTTCCTATACAATAAATGAATACATAAAGATAGGCTCAGGTGTCGGGTCTGTGTGTGTGCGGCTGTGGTGCTTTGAACATACAGTGAGGAAGAGAAAGGAGAGAGGAACGCTGCTTTATAATGTGTGTCTGTCCATAAAATGTTTTGTCTTGTTTATTTGTGAGATATTAAAGTTGTATTGTGTAACTTTCTGGTGAAGAGTTCATCACCTGCGTTTCTGCACTGTAAACCTGATTAGGTTACCAGAACTCAAAGACACTGCTTTTTAGACAAGCTTTTAGTTGACTGTGTAATTCCTCTGTTCTTGTATATGTTGTTTATTGCACTCTGTAAAGCACTTTGTGATTTTATATCTGTGAAAGGTGCTACATAAATAACTTACTAATCTATGTTTTTGAGTTACGCTCACTTATACACACAATAGTTCCGAAAGTTAAAATTACTCAAAAAGAAGAACATGTTACATCAATTTGACATAATCAAGTTAGTAGGACTATTTCTAAAACTTTGAGTATACACAACTTAATCTGTGCAATTACTTTGAACTTTTGAGTTTACAGTGCATGGAGATTTTATTTCTTTGTCCAGAATATTCCACAGTATGGCAACGTATCTTTGTCTATGAAGGCAAGAGGTGATGCAGCCAAGTTATGGGTCAGACCTGTTGGAAAGTAATAACATCCAGAAAAATGTGTAGACCTTTAAAAGTCATCATAGCACGTACGGCAATACATTGTGTTGTCAGCAAGGTTAAAGTTCTATAACATAAACTAGAAGTCAAACTTAGTTTTAACTTGTTTATAACCATTTGGGATTTAAACATTCACTAATATGACCAACTAATTTGTTTAAAACTTGTGTGCAACTCCACACTACATACTATATGAGTTATACGACAAGCAAAGTTTGCCCTGCATAATTAGCATATTGCTAAAGCTATAGTTTTTTTTCTGCATCAGCACATAACATAAAAAGCCAGGCATTTTCCGAGGTGGCAATTTTTAACTCGCAAATAGCATTGCTTATAAGTGCAACAATAGTAATAAAAACATGTTTTCAAAAGGCAGAGAGCAGAGCCAAGACTGTAGCCACGAAGGAGAGGGTGAGTCTACTTACATTTGCAGCCATTGTCCCACATAAATCCGGGCAGACAGTCATGACACTTGGGCCCCGTAGTGCCCTCCTTACAAATACAAAATCCTGTGCCATTACAGCGATCACTGACTGAGCCATAGGGGTTACAATTACAATCTGGAAAAACAGAACACACACACGTCCAATGACCCTAACAGATTTTCAAGTCCATAATAATAATAATAATAAACTATGTACAAGTTAACTGTCATATTTTGCATCAGAATGCTTCCATTTCAACTGTTATGGAGAAAGAATGAAACAGACTGTGACTGAATACAGATGATAAGTTTGTATATTTCTATACAGTCAGACTTAACATTTTAGATTATCAACATGCAATGGGCAATTATGCAAAGCACTATCAATAGCTGTATATTTCAAATGTCTATAATGGAATCTCTGCACATGCTGTCTAAAACTGGAGTCATTTAGAGTTAAGAAAAAGAGGTGAGAAAAGACAGGAGCTGATGAAGGTGTGATGAGAAGAGATGGAAAAACTGACATAAAGAGAAAGATGGCTGACTTTTATGGTACATTGAAATGGGCATTGTAGAAATAATTACACAGTTTAAGCCTGACTATTTGGTCTTTATTTTAGAGCAAACCACAGCTCTTAACCTTTACTTGTGAATAATGGTTGAACTAACATCAGAAACCTACAGAAGAAATATGCTATGAAACAAATACAGTCTTGACGTTTTTCTTCAAATCATGCTCAAAATGTAATAAGAAATATTTTTGTTGCTTGATCATATATTTGATAGGTAGAAACCTGTTCCACGCTTGACCTTTGGTGTCCATCAGCGTAACACTGTGCAGTCAAAAGGGTCACAAATGTAAAACTTCACAACAAAACAGTGAGGTACAAATAACTGTAGCTAAACTTAACTGACACAAAGTTCAGAGTGAGCTTTTGTGTTAATTTATTTACTCTGAAATCTATTGAATCACTCAAAACCACACTAACTTTTGTCTCACACACTGATATTACCTGTTAAGAAACTAAATTCAGTGTATTGAAAATGTTTTAAAGCTCTCATACGACTTAGCAGGCATATACACTACCAGTCAAAAGTTTGGACACACCATCTCATTCAGTGTTTTTTTTTATTATTATTTTTTTTTACATCAAATATATATGAAATTATGTATTACAGAAAAAAGGGAAATAACTCTAGTAAATATATATTATATTTTATATTGAAATCCTCAATGTAGACACCCTTTGCTTTGTTATTTCACTTTTTCAGATTTTGCTAGTGTACCTTACCATTTTATTTCACAAGCATTATGTACATTGTGTACTGGGGGCCCAAGCAAAGCATCACAGGGGGCCCTCCAATCAGACCCCACTTTCCCTACTGTGTATATCCCTATTGCAATGCGGCTCTGGCAACTAAAGGACCTTTGGGGGGCCCTTGTGGTCAGGGCAGGTGGCCCCCAGCAGTTGCCCGTCCTGCCAGTTGGTGGCAGCGCCTCTGCTCCACATGTAAGACTGGTTCACTAACACTCATCTCCCTGTGGAGCAGTGAACAAGAGCTGCTCATTAGTTAAAGCTGTCCGCTGTGACCTTCACTTCTCCTCACCACATCCACACTGACACTGCTTTTGACAGCCTCCACTGTCACAGCACCCTGCTCCCATTCACGTGTCCTTGCACCAGTAGCACCCAAGGGTCACCCATGAGGACAGGGGTGACATCCAAAGTCCATAACCCCGTGGACAGGTGTTTATAACAATGTGGGGAAATTTGTATACACACTCTCATCATGGGGACCTACTGTCTTTATGGGGACAAAAAAGCAGGTCCCTGTAATGAAAATGATGTTATTAGATCAACAACATGATTTAAAGTCAAGATATGGGTCAAAATAGGTTAAGTTAAGGGTTTGTGTTAAGGTTAGGAGGGTTAGTGACTATGGTTAAGATTAGGCTCAGTCTCAGTGGTGTTTATATATATATATATATATATATATATATATATATATATATATAGATAGATAGATAGATAGATATAGATATATAGATATAGATATATATATCGCACTTGAATCAGCATTGCAATCTGAGTTGATTATCAAAGGGCAAAGTTTGCAATTATTTAGATAAATAATTATCTAATCTATCTAATTATTTAGATAAATGACTGTAACAAACAAAATATCCTGTCTTATTTATAGAAAAATCTTGATTAGCCTGTGGTTAAGTAGTAGATATCTACAAATATGCTCTGAAATGCATGGGATACATATTCATTTCATATTTTAGCTGTCTTTCAAGAGTGAATTCTCCTGGAGTTGTTTACAGTGTGCAGTTTGAACAATACACAGCCCCAGTCTTCAAAAAAGAAACGCAAGTCTATGTAAAGTCCCCATTACAACACATAAACCCATGTGTGTCTCTTCCCCGGTAGCACCCCAGGGTGATCTATGAGTATAACAGTGATATCCAAAGTCCAGCCATGTCTGCGTGTGTGTTTGTGTGAGCGTGCATGCATCTGTGTGTGTGAAGGGGAAGTGTCTGGGGAGGGGGAGGTAACGCCTGGCTGATCTTCTAACGCCGCGGTGACGGGCTTCAGCTGCTGCTCTTGGGGGCACTTCACGGAGCTGACACGCGCGCTCCTATGACACCTCGTGACCAGTAACATTTCCTTCAAAGCTCGCGCCGCCCGTCACAGCTGCCCCCGCGGACATCGCCAAACGCACCTGGCGCCAAGCGAGCAATGCAATCCAATGGGGGAGCCGAGCACGCCGCCGGAGGGACTACGTGCGGTTTTCACACGTTTTATGTATTTCGAAAAGACACGCAGACGACAGGAGGCATGAGCTCTCATCAAAAGGTCATGGGGGAAATAAGCAGAAAGACCCAAATTTGAAAGCTGCCTTTGAGTTCGTCTCCTCTCAACAACCTTGGAAGTTCCAAAGCAATTAATGGCGTTTTGAATTTAACAAGGTGAGGTGACTAATGTTATTTTAAGTCAAGTATCTGACAGCATTCTCACCTTTTAGAAGTCTGAAATAGCTCGGATTGAAAGGGAATTATGAACAAGGTGCAAATCAAATCCTGCTGATTTGATTGGGTCACGTAGAAGAGCAGAGTGTGTATGTGTGTATGTGTGCATGTGTATATCTGTGTATATGTGTGTATATGTGTGTATGGAGACATAGAGGAGAGTTGGACGGACAGACAACTTCCCCATGTACCGTGGATGATGAAAGGGAGAATACTACAGTGAATCCCATATGACCAGAATGTTGAGAACCAGAATGTTGTACTATACTCGTTTTATCTCCCAGTTAGGATAATCTGCATATTGTACAACAGAGTATTAAAGGTGCACTATGTAACTTTTCTTGAGTAGGCCATGTCATCTGCTCTTCTCCATGAAGATACTATTAATACTTTATCTGGAATGATAGGCATTATCTCCATGGACACCATAGCCATATTAGATGATTTGAGGAGGTGAGACCCCATTCACAGTAAAAACACATTTTGGTATTTTATAATAAAACACATTTAAATAAATAAATAAATGAAAGATTGATGCATTTAAGACTACAGTGTGGAACACCTTAGAGAAAGAATGGATACAAGCAGGTGTCGTATCCTCCAGTTACAAAGTGCATCTTTAGTTTAAAGGAACAGTCAGGAATTTTGGACATAGGACCTCATTTCCTAGTGAGCCAGAGTGTTGGAGACGTGTGGAAACACTTTTTTAAATATTCCATCCATCCTTATACTTGCAGAGGTTACTGGTGCTAGGCTAGTGCATATCAATGGTCATAGTTAGCCTGCCACTACAGTCTTACTCACACCACACAGCACCCAAAGCAAATCTGTTATTACGCCAGACTGTCCATGTAAATGTCTGTGTCAATAGAAGAATGTTTAAAATAAAACTAACCTTGCATCGCATGAATCGTCGCATGTTGAGGGACTATTTTCTCAGCATCAGCGGAATTTTACTTAGCCGGTAAGATAGGTGTGAGGTGATATCGCTGCTGCTGTTCAGACATAAATCCTTCAAACTTCTAAAATTATTCTATCGACACAGACATTGACATCGACAGTCTGGCGTAATAATAGATTTACTTCGGGTGTTTTGTGGAGTGGGTAAGACAGTTTTTAATGGCAGGATAACTGTGGCCATTGACATGCACTAGTCTAGCATCAGCGACTTCATACAAGGACTGGATGGAATATTTAAAAAAGTGTCTCCACACATCTCCAACACTCTGGGTTCACTAGGAAATGAGGTTCTATGTCCAAAATTCCGGACCTGGTCTAAAGCTACTTTTAAAGACCCCAGTGTCCCTGTGACCTGAAAGTGGCCGCACTGTGGGCTGGTGCGAACAGTCATAACAGTCATGACGGTCATGTGATGTGACTGTCATGTGTTACGTGTGGTGATAGACACAGGTTGGAGTTGCATGTCACACTAGCATCATGCAACACTCCAGAAAAAGACTGCAAGATTCAAACTGGAAATCTGGCTGCTCTTTTTGACCAGGAAATGACTCTGAAAAACTGAAATGAACTTTTATTCTCCCTAATCTTGTTTACTAATTTATGCTAGATGAATAGTTTAATGTTAAGTTTAATGAAGTTCATGAATGAAATGGTGCAAAGCTGAAATCATAAAACGATAAATTTATGTGGTGTTTTTTGGCGTCACAAAAAATAAAACATCAATAAAAACCCCAAACATTCAAAGTAGACGTGCATGAGGTGAGTTGTTGCCGTAGAGACCAGATGATTGACAGAGCAGTGTGACAGCAGTGACAGTGAGAGGGGGGCGGGGTTTAGGGGACTGACCTATGCACACATTTTCATCGTCCAGCTCGGCAGAGGCATTGCGGTAGTAGCCCAGCTTGCATAGCTGACAGTGCTGCCCCCTAGTGTTGTGCTTACAGCTGACGCAAATGACGGTGTTTAGCAGCTCGATGTAGCTGCACCGGTTGGAGTGGCCGAAGCATTCGCAGTCTTGCAGGTAAAGTTAAGATAGAAAGATAAATAGAAAAGTAGAGAGAAAAGAAAGGAGAAAGAAAGAGAGAGAGAGAGAGAGACGCGATAGATTTGTGGAGGTTAAAGGTGCGATGTGTAACTTTTCTGGAGGGGGTCCGTCACCTGCTTGTTTCCACGGAGATGTGCTTAGAATGTTCCACAGTATGGTCTAAAAATCTCCATGGAGATTTGCAAGTTACTATGCAAATTACAGATTAGATCTGTGAAGAGGCGATCCCACTTAGTCAGAATGCCTGTTTTTGCATTAGTAGTAAGTATGGATGTTTTTTAAGTCATTTTTGAGCAATATATAAGACCTGTAGTTGAATAAATGAAAGACAGATTAGTTTAACACCATACTGTGGACAATTTAAACCAAAGCATAAAGGTGCATTGTGTAACTTTTCTGGTGGAGGGTCCGTCATATGGCTTTCTCCATGGAGATGCTATTGCTTTGTCCAGAATGTTTCACGGTATTAAACATTTCTATCTTCATGGAGACCAAATCAGATCAAGTTGCAGGTCAGATCTGTGGAGAGAATGCCTGTTTTTCTATTTTTGAGCAGTAAAACCAAGTGTAATTTAATAAACATAAGGCAGAACTGTTTAATGTCTTACTGTGGAGCATTCCAGGCAGAGCAAAGACATATCCATAGAAACAAGCAGGTGACAGACCCCCAACCAAAAAGCTACATAGCGCACCTTTAACATCTACATAAAGACAAAACAGGCTGCGGACCCCGTCCAGAAAAAGTTACAAAGCGCAGCTTTAAACTGCGAGTGCTGCGGCGGTTGTTAGCAGAGTCGGAGCCGGGACATGCCATGGGACAATGAGGTCACAGATGCGAGGAGTTTTGAATGGTTAGTCTGGGTTAGTATGCGACAGCCTGAGTTAGAACACATGACACAGAAGCACAGCGTTAGTACAGGGCTGAGAGGTCAGATCACTACAGACACGACCACAGAGGCGGAGGAAGGCTGAGGTGATAGGACAATACATGAACACTGCACAATGATATGAAATGGAGCAAAAATAAAACAGTCTGCACTGTGAAAAAGCTGTGGTAGTGATGTTAAAATAATGAATGAAATGTACTGTCTCTTTAACGGAATACATAAGATCTTTAAAAGTTCACTGAAACAACGTTGAGTTTCTTCTCCCTGATCTCTTGGTTCTGTTAGAAGCCTCAATGGAGAATACAATGTCTGCAGACTGTGAGAGAAATAAACTCTTTTTTTTGTTAAGTCTCACACTTTGAGAAGTAATTAATTAATTAATCAATCATTGCATTTATATAGCACCTTTCAAGATACCCAAAGTGTTTTACAGTTCATTATTCATTCACTCAACACTCAGTGGTGGTAACCTTCTACTATAGCCACAGCTGCCCTGGATTCAGACTGACTGAAGTGAGGCTGACAATCTGCGCCATCGGCCCCTCTGACCACCACCAACACTCACACACACACAACTTTCATACTAGGCAATGTGGGTGAAGTGTCTTGCCTAAGGACACAACACAACAGTTTTTGCCACTGGCGCCTCACTGTGGCACCTGGAATTCCCAATGGTCTCCCGTCCAAGTATTACCGAGGCCTGGTCCTGCTGAGCTTCTGAGATCTAACGGGATCAGGCTTTGACAAACCGGTACGGCCACAATGCCATGTATGTACTGTACTGTTTATAATACCATGGGTTCAATGTTAAGAGAAAATTCTGTTCTTCTTGTGTTTTTTAACACGAAGGAATGAAATATTGATTCTACAATGAGTCAAAAACAACTGCACGTCCATTGGTTAGATGATAAACAGCCAGGAAATGTCCTATATAATGCAAAATGGACTCTTGTGAGCTTTAATCCATGTTAAAATGTTGTTCCCTCATCAAAAGCATACCCGGAATTGTGTTATGTTTGTGTTATGCAGGATTTGTGTGAATGAAACAATACAAAACTCCAGGTATGTTTGTGATGAGGAAACAATGTTATAACAGAGATTTAAAAAAAACAAAAAACAGCATAATATGGGCCTTTTAATCCATTTCCTTTGGCCTGGATATGTGGCATTGAAGTACTGAAGCCCAAAGCATCACCCTGTTGGGTACATTTAAAAAATATATGGGTCTCAGTAAATCTTTGAAGTTTCATTTCCGTTGGATCAGCACATCAGCACATCTCAAAACAAATATTCACCCTCCATATTTTTCTTACTTTATCTATTTTTCTCATTTTCTCATTATCACTTGAAGCTCATGGGGAGGTTACATTACTTAAGTATCATTTTTAAGTATTTAAGCAACATTTTGAGTTCTATAAAATTGTATCTTTACTTGAGTAATATGTGTAGTAGTATAATGTAATGTAACAGTACTCTTAGTTGAGTAAAAATTTTGGTTACTCTTCCCACTGTGAGTAATTCAAACAATGGCAAAAGTTTTTTGTTGACAATATTAAACAATTTCAACATTTCTGTTTCTTACACCGCTACTTCAGTTTGTTTTCTGTTTTTTTTTTTTTTTTTACATGTTACCTCCAGTTACTCTTGCACTTACTCTAACCTGAAAACTTTTTACGCCTGCCTTTTCGAGAAATGTGCTTTTCTGGTGTTTATTGTATGTAAATATATATATTTTTTTTCCTTTCTTGGCACAAACTCAAAATAAAAACAAATCAATCAATCAGTCAATCAAAAACTTCTATGTGATAATTTCTTGGACCATGAAATTGTACTTTTATTTGAATAACAGCATTTTGAAGTACTTACTTAAGCACATTTTCTGCCTGCTCTGCCCACTTCATCTGCATTTTACAGTGACACTAATGTGACTAACTCCTCACACAGTCTCTTGCCACAGTGGCAGTGCTCCTCCATGTTAGCGCTGAAGTGTTGTGTCACTTTAAATCAAAACTGTGCGACTTAAACGTGCAGAGAAAGAGCCAGGGCCCCTCTCTACCGCCTGTGACAGACTGTGGCAGCTCTGCCCTTAGGTGCTCTGGCTCCGCTCGTCTCCCTGTGAATCTGGATCATTGGCCCGCGCTTTACTGACCACCGACAACATGTGTCACAACGCAGACAGATGCGACCCCAACCACTCCTCTGGCAACTGCCCAAGTGCCCAACTGCCCCAGCACTGATTCTGAAACACAGTTAAGAAGGAGGAAGAGGAGGAGGAGGAGGAGGTTGGCTTTCTTCCAAGGGATTGTGGTTGTTAAGAAGTGTATTGGGGTCAGGTCCGTGTGTCCATTGCTAACCACCCGTTTTGGGAAGAATAGTTTGAAAATGTACACTCAGCACTGCAAAAAGTACCACTCAGGTAAGTTTAAAGGTGCAGTGTGTAACTGTGTAACTGTGTAACTGTGTAACTGTGTCTGATGGAGGGTCCATCACCAGCTTGTCTCTACGGAGATGTGCCTAGAATGTTCCACAGTATGGCCCTAAACTTAAGAATCTCCATCTTACAAGCCAAATTACAAGTTAGCTTTGTGGAGAGGCCACCCCACTTGTTTTTAAAGCAAAAAAATAGCACTGCAACTGAATAAATGCAAGGGAAATTAGTTTAATGCCATACTGTGGACAATTTCAACCACAGCATTAACATCTCCATGGAGACAAACAGGTTGCAGACTCTCTCCAGAGAAGTGACACAGTGCACCTTTAAACTACTCAATTAAAAACATTTAAGTTGATTTGAGGAGACTTGACTTGACAAGTAAAATTATCTACCAATGAAGAAAGATTTCTTTTACTTAATTCAAGCTAAATAAGATTTAGTTTCTTATTTTATGTGCAAAGGGTTGTTGTTTTTTTTCCTTATTTTTTTGTATAACAAGATGTACTTTCCTATTTAAAGTCCAAAAAGTCTTGTTCCAGTGGTAGATAATTATACTTTATTCAAATCAAGATAACTTTTTTCTTAATTCAAGTATTTTAAACTTGGTGAATTTTAGTTTTCACAGTGAGCTGCCAAAATGCATAAAAAGTAAAATTTAGCAAAGTTATTGTGACTTGAATTAAGAACATTTCAGTTGGTAAGTAAATAATCTACCTATGGAACAAGACTTTTTGCACTTTAAATAATGAAATACATCTAGTAAAAACTTCACAGATTGTTTCTTTCTTAAGATAAGAGAAAATGGCACACATGCTAGATAATTTTACTTGTAAAGATGAATCTACTCAAATCAAGTAAAATGTTCATAATTTCATTTATTTTTAACTTGCCTACATATTACTGTTTGCAGTGTAAATAAAGAATTTTAAATATTCTTTTTAAACAAAAGAGCCTTGGATCTTTCATTACACAGTTATCATGGTCTGTATTCAGCTGATCTGTACAATTACATGATCTACTACTCCTTCTACATTGAGTCTCATTATGTTATAATATAAAAAAGGAGTAAAATAAATTGCTTTAATGCATCATTTGTTGTGCATTTATCATACAAGCATTCATCACAAAAGCTGAGGAATTTTCTATTTTTTCTCATTAATATTGTGTTATAGAGATTGACCAATATGTCACGCCTATATTTGGACTTTTTAGCATATTGGTTTTTGCCTTTAAACCACCAACACAGACCGATCTTCTGTTTTTATCGATCTTTTGCCTAAAAAAATACAGACAAAGCTTTATATTAACACTTTAATACTGTAATAAAAGAGATCGCTGATCAAAGTATGACTAAACTTCTCTCTTAAAGGTTTGTGGAAAAAAAAAAAAAGTTTGGGAGGAGTTTTTAGTCAATTCAAATGCCATAATATGTGGCAAATAATCCAAATCTGCCTTACATATTGGCCCAAAAATATCAGCAGACGTTATCAGCTATCGGTTGCTGTATATTCAAAATAAAGAGTATCCGCATCAGCCATAAAAAAAACATATCAGTTGATCTTTGCTGTTCTATATTACATGATCAAGTACCAACAGATTTTCCTTTGATTTAAGGGAAGTAACTAGATTTTCAATACCACCAAATTAC